CGGCACGCGGCAAGCGACGATGTTGCGGACCCGCGCGGCAGAGGGTTAACTGTTACATTTACGTAAGCCCTGCATCATAAATGAGGGCTCGAAACAGATACAATTGCATACCATAATCATCGCATGCTTATAATCACACAAGGAACATACCTCTTTAAGTCTCGTGTCTCTACGCTTGATTATTTCGTGCATATGAAGAATAAAGCTGAAATAGCTTGATTTTCATGAAATTTGACCCTAAAATTCGTCTAGTGGGGTCAGTTAGTAACATGAGACTTCAACGAGTCATGATACTTCGTTAAAGACAGTTCAGTGTTGTTTTATTTGCGAGTGTCATCATCACGAGTCCTCCTATCAGTCCGCGTTATACAGACTAGCGAGTCATGGTAAGGGCTAGAGTTGTTGGCTTCCAGCCTTTTTAAAATACTTGACATACGCTGGTGTAAATTCTGCATACTAGATCATAAAAACATCAGCTGGTACAGCAGAATGACACATTTTGTTGCCAACATCCAGGCATTGTTAAAAGTTCACCCCGTCGACCACAACTGCCCTTTACCTGCCGAATAGCACGCTATTCTAAGGTTACCTGCAATACTTGCCATGTGTAATGTAGCAGAGTCAATTCAAATTAATTTCTGGGGCCCAACCCAACTGCCATTATGGGTTGGGCCTCCTCAATTTGGATTCCTTCCCCCTTACACTTCTAGCTGGAAAATTATTTTTTAAAAAATGCATGAGAAAGAGCAAACCATAATACAAAACCATCTTCTCTGGACATTTTGCATTGATTATGACCCATGGGTTGTCATTATCCTACATTATCCTACAAACGCATGCAAACTGTCACTCTTGTCATTATGCCACCATCACACAAACTATGTTGAATTATTATTATCAAGTTAGGATGAATGTAAGGTAGGCTGTCGACCTTCACATTTCTGTTCTAATGTTCATGGCGATTATGCTAAGGATTCCATCAGGACAATTTTCAATTTGATGTTCGCAAAAACAGTGATAAAATGTACCATACTTGCACCCATGCCAGTGCCATGCTCGCAAGTGCAAAGAAAACATGCATATGAATGATCACTGCAGAATGAATCACTCCCAGAAGATGCTATCATCTGCATACAGCCAACAATGTCTCCAGAGGCGATCAAATATCAATAATTCACTAAACTCTTAGTACAGTTGGGCCAAGATATTTGAAGTAAAACTCTTGGCAGAGCGGTAGATGGCAATGAAACCTGTACCCCCTCCCCTCCTCATTGCCTACACTTGCTACACCATATCATGCCTCCCTTTGCAGTGCCTTCTCATCACTCATATCATTATTGGCTATTTTATGTACTTCCAGCGACCAAGATTCACAGCAGCAAAAGGTTGAGCTGTGAAGGAGTGTTAAAATGCTAACAAAACATCGATGAGATAATTGTGTTTCATGCAGGGATGCAGTTTTTATAAAAAAGTAGACCGGGGTAACAGTGGAAAGCTACGCAAACTATCTCCAAAATATAAATGTCTCTTAGATTGGCACACTTCTTTACAAACCTAGGGCCGTGTTAGAGCACTGGACTGAAAAGGAAGCTGAGTGCACCCCTGATGTGTAGATCTATGTGCCTGGTAACCATACTCAGTCAGGTCAAGAGCAAAAATGGCATAACTTGGCACTTCAGAACTATTGTCACCTTCTTTCATTCCCTTTGTTTAGCAGTGCCATCAGATTTCGGACATCAAATCCACGGTTCTTTTTAAATTTGGCCGCTTATGACCGCTAAAGTGAGCCAACAGTCTTTTCGGCATCCGAAAAGGCGGTCTGGATAATCACAGGCTAATTTCTACCTTGATCGGATCATTTCACCACTTCACCCTGAACTGTCGATGCCTCTCGTCGCCGAGGACAGGATGCTGAATCGCAGCACCGCCAACGAAGTAAACAAGGCCCAACAATTAAACCCTAGGTAGGTATTCATGACACCGCAATGCGACTGGAAAGTCGCAGCGCATTTAAAGTCACCGCCCACCTCAGATCAGTCGCGTCGCAACGATTAAAACATGTCTTTGCGGCCGGATGAATCCCCACATCTAGGTATTTTTCAGTATTTTGTACTGTCTAATTTGGGACTCTAAAAGTCGGCCCGTAAAAACAGTGAATCGGCCGACCTGCCCTGTCAAAGGAAAGACACTGATTAGTCGCCTGTCTGTCACTGAGTCGAGAGACCAACTATAAACTGCAGGATAGTTTTATCTCCGGGTTTGGATGACACCTATAAAAGATATCATGTTGCCGTAGGGTACGGTTAGGAGTCTTTACGGAAAGGTTTGCTTGGGTTGTGTGACGAAACGCATTACCATGGATGCATACCATCCATGTACGGAATTCCCATGTTGGGTTTTGCAGCGTGTACTGTATTATTTCGTCGCGGCTGTCACCAAAATTGTGTCAAAAACATCTTTGGCGTTAGACTTGGAGTGAATATATGCAGCTGTGTCGCCGACCTTATCCACTAAGTCGGTAAGCCTAGCCAACCCTCTCGGGTCATCCCAGCCGAACTTGCTCAGTACGTGCTAATTTAGACTTCTGTTTATTGCAGCCTGGTTATGCAGCCGTGTTTATTTCAGGGGCACAACCATGATCTGGGACGAAGAGGGCTTTTAGAATTTGCGAGGATAGCGGGACAGGAAGAGCCTGATTTTTTGGGAGCGAGTCCTAGCCCTGTTCGTACTACATACTATAGTAAAAGGCTTTCCGCTAGCGTCAGCCGCTAGGGTATTACGTCATAGGCCATAAGCCGTAGCGGTGACCGCCACTGTCTCAGGGCCACCTTGTGTGTGTCACCTTCGTGCCGGCTGAGACGGGACGAGTAATATTGGACAGTTGCACCAGTGCGTGGGCCCACATCTGCATGAGCTCATAGGACGTGGCTCACATTTGCATGGGCTCGCAGGACGCGGGCTCATACCTGTATGGGCTCATAGGACGTGGGCTCGCATCGCTCGGCGTAACCAGTGCGAAACCAGGGAGGGAGAGGTCGAATAATGGGTAAAATGAGCAACGCAATTTATGGACGGTTCCTCTGTATGTGATATGGGCGGATTGCCACCTTGGTTTGCGATATGGGCATATTGCCACCTTGGCTTCCAGCGTCGCAGCGATCAACTTTAGCCCATCGATCGCCCTGACTTCGATGCACATGAAACCCGAATGCCTTAAACAATGCGCAAGAATCCACGAGACGAAGTGCCTTTGTCAGTCCCACGCTGCCACAGGCGCCAGAGTTCTGTGCTGTGCTGAAGCCCTTGGCATTGCTCTCAGAAGTAGCTGGTGCTGTGTGTGTGCCGAAGCCCTTGGCATTGTTCTCAGAAGTAGCTGACGCCGTGTGTGTGCCACGGACTGGAGGGGCTGCTGGGACCGCCGCTGCGGCTGTAGCTGTGCGCGGCACAACAGTTTCCGGGGACGGCCAGCTCGCTCGGCGCCAAGTACGCCGACACCGGCGGCGCCAGCGGACGCGCCGCCCGGGCCCGGCTGGGGCGGCAGGGCCCGCCATCAGAGGCTGCACCCGTGACCTCCCCTGGCTGGGTCCATGACAGGGCCCGCCATCAGAGGCTGCACCCGTGACCTCCTCTGGCTGGGTCCATGACAGGGCCCGCCATCAGAGGCTGCACCCGTGACCTCCCCTGGCTGGGTCCATGACAGGGCCCGCCATCAGAGGCTGCACCCGTGACCTCCCCTGGCTGGGTCCATGACAGGGCCCGCCATCAGAGGCTGCACCCGTGACCTCCTCTGGCTGGGTCCATGACAGGGCCCGCCATCAGTGGCTGCACCCGTGACCTCCCCTGGCTGGGTCCATGACAGGGCCCGCCTTCAGTGGCTGCACCCGTGACCTCCTCTGGCTGGGTCCATGACAGGGCCAGCCATCAGTGGCTGCACCCGTGACCTCCCCTGGCTGGGTCCATGACAGGGCCCGCCATCAGTGGCTGCACCCGTGACCTCCCCTGGCTGGGTCCATGACAGGGCCCGCCATCAGTGGCTGCACCCGTGACCTCCTCTGGCTGGGTCCATGACAGGGCCAGCCATCAGTGGCTGCACCCGTGACCTCCCCTGGCTGGGTCCATGACGGAAGTTCACGGCGTGGTGTTGTGATACTGACGTCCTCAATGCATTTAAACCGGCATTGACTGGGTGGGGATCAAATCTGCTTCCTGTCCAATGTTTGCGATAAGTCAAAAACGCTAACACCTATGATACCATGACAGATCAAGCGTAATGTCAGATTGACGTCATGTTTGCCTATTTGTTTTTACAAAACGCACAGCTGTGGAGAAATTGACACTGAAGCAGAAAGACACGATATATTGAACATCAGCTAACGGTAAATATTAGCCAATTAATCTGCCATTCATATGTCTCGGCGCTGTGCTGCTTCATTCTGCACATTGAAATATTGGGATGGCAAACAACAAACAGCATTATAGAATTACGCTCAAATTTTTTGGTCTCAGACTCAAAATTATGAAGGCATAAAGTAGATGGTATATATATATATATATATATATATATATATGTATATATATATGTATATATATATATATATATATATATATATATATATATATATATATGATTAGGAATGTATGTATACATGTGTGTGTGTGTCAGATTATACGTACATTATATAGATCATATCATAGATAGATAAACAGACAGATGTGATTATATCATAGATCGCACGGATAGGATCATAGATACAGACTATACATACATGATGTCTGTGCAAGGTTCAAAACAATAATCTGCAGCAATGACTGAGTTATGGCTTAAAATTTATCACAATGCATGATGCCCTTACTCAGGTAGGCCCAGGCTCGCGGCGGCGGGCGCCGGGCAATGGGGCTCAGATCTGCCGCAGCGGCGCCGGGCAATGGGGCTCAGATCTGCCGCAGCGGCGCCGGGCAATGGGGCTCAGATCTGCCGCAGCGGCGCCGGGCAATGAGGCTCAGATCTGCCGCAGCGGCGCCGGGCAATGGGGCTCAGATCTGCCGCAGCGGCGCGGTGAGGGGGCGTCGAAAACGGTTCAGCAGTTTCATAAGCAAACCGACTACCACGTGAGTTGCAGCGGAGTTGAAGGGTATCAGGTTGCAGGGCGGATCCAGGGGGGCACGGCCCCCCCCCCCCCCGCCAACCCTTGAGCCCCGAAGTGGCCCATTGGCTCCGAGGGGGCCCATAGCCAGCCGAACGGGTGCAGTTTTTTTAACACAAAACGCAACAAAACTGGATATATCTGGACTTCCACACGACCAAGAGCAGTTGTAAGCGAACGAGAAGGGCCGATGAGAAGTGAAAAAATTAATGATTGAAAAGTTGTTAACTAGAGATTTTAAGCCTAATTACACTGTCTAGGGCCCCATGCTGTTTCTGGGAGACCTATATGCCCACTTGCTGAACCATTTCGATAGTTAAGGAGCATTCCACGTTGCCCTTTATTTCGTTGCATTTGCTCGCGTGGGGGGGGGGGGGGGCTGCGGTGTTGCTGGGGTATTTCCTGTTAGCGTGCCGGGGTACTCTTGTCGATCATGGGCCCTTCCACGCGTCCTTTCTATTCGCCAGAAAGCTTCTGTGGGCTATAGCCGTGATCCCATATTTTAACCTGCCGGGGTATTCTCGTTTGCTCAGACGTCCTTTACGTGGGTCTCAGTTAGCCTACCGACACACTTGAGATATGCTCATGGGCCCTCTTCATTGGTCTAGGGCGCTTCCAATTCTCTGTCACTTGCTTAGGGCCCTGCACTCTTGTCGGGGGCCCATCTGATGGCCTGCTTGGGCACAGCAGTCGTTCGGGCACCCTTCACCGGGTCTTGGGAACTTCTTTTCTTAATGGGGGCCCTACGCTTTTGGGGCGGGGCCTATCCGATAACCTGCTCGGGCACCCTCAATCGTTTGGGGCCCTCTACACTGGGCCCTGGGCACGTGCTATTTGAATGGGGCGCTACGCACTTGTCGGAGCCCCTCTGTTCACCTCTCCGGCCACACTGGACTGCTCAGGGGGCCCTGTCCATTGGTTCTTGGTGTTTAAATTTAGGGCCCTCTGCTCCTATTGGGGTCATATGATAACCTGTTCGGGTACAATTCATCTTTCGGGGGCTCTCTGCACCGGGTTTTGGGAAATTCTTAGTTGAATGGAGGCCTTTGCGCTCCTATTGGAGCCCCTTCTGATAAGATGCTCAGGCCCATTCGATCGTGACGACCTCTATATGTGGTTTTGGGTACTTCCATTCTGAATGGAGGGCCCTCCGCGCTTTTGGGGGGCATTATCTGTTAACCTGCTCTGGCGCACTCGATTATTCGGGGCTCTCCACATCATGTCGTGGGTATTTCATATTTGAAGGGAAGGCCGCACGCTCTTGCCGGGGCCCCATCTGTTAACCTGCTCGAGCACACTCGAATATCCGGGGGCCCTCCACATAGTGTCTTGGGCACTTCTTATCTTAATGGAGCAACCTAAGTACTTGTCGGAGACCCCATCTGTTCGCCGTTCTGGCCACACTGCGTTGCCCCGGGGCCCTGCACATTGGGTCTTGGTATTTGAATTTAGGACCTTACACTCCTGTCTGGGCCACTTGATAATATGCTCGGGTATCCTCCATCTTTCGGGGACCTCTGGGAGTGCTGCTTGCGGGAAATTTTGGAGATCATTGCGCTGTCTAGAGTCATTGCGATGTTGGTTTCCTGGCCCTATATGTCCACTTGCCGGGTCGTTCTGGTGGTTAAGGAGCCTTCCACGTTGCCTTTGATCTCTTTGCATTTTTTCGTGGACCCCAATGCGCTGTTGGGACGCTATCCGCCTCCATGCCTGAGCACTGTTGATCGATCACGTTTTCCTCCGCGGATTCTCCCCATTCGCCCGAAAGGCTCTTTACACTTTTTCCAGGAACCAGATGCCAGGGTGCACTCAGTTGCTCAGCGGACCCTCATTTAAGTCTTGGGCTCTTCCTACTCGCTTGGAGGGCCTTATGCTGTTGCAAAGCCTTTTAGAAGGTAAGGCACGGAGACACTCGATGCTCACGGGCCACCTCCTTTGATCGAGGACTGTCTCCCTTGGGTCTCATTTGCGGAAGACTCTTCACTCTTATCGAGGCTTGTGTTGTTAACCCGCCCGCGCACTCTTGATCGCATAAGAGGTATTAATTCATGGTCTTGGATGATTCCCCTTCGCTCGGAGAGTTTTGTGCTCTGGCCTGGGCCTCATACGTTAGCCTGCCGAGACACTACTGATCGTCCATGGGCCCACCACGTTGGTCTTTGGTTATTTTTGCTTGCTCTGCAGACCCTAAACTTGTTGACGAAAGTCACTTTGTTGGCCTCCTGCGGCACCCACGATCGCTCAGGCTGCGTCCCTACTGGCCTTGGTGCATTCGCCTCAGAGCAGCGGTCCAATATGCACCGATGCATTTTTACGCGCAATTGCAGAACGCAATTTGACATGCCGTCGACGTCATATGCGTCATTTTCATTAGCTATAGAATGTGTGACACTTATTATACCAGTGCATCACGTTCTTAATGTATTCTGAATGCTGGTATATGTTGTACTCCTTTATGACAGAGGAACGAATCCGCACTAGCCATCAGCCATCAACTGATTACATGGCCTGATCAACTGATTACATCAACTGATTACATGGCCTAGCCCGCTAGCACCAAAGACCTAAGCTAGGAATCAAGTCCACGCCTCGTTTTGATGGTTGTTAGCAGCTAACTCAAGGCTATTTTGCCTGCTGTTCCGAAACACTTGGCCTCAAAATCACAGCATTCAACATGATCTGTAGAAAGTGGGTGAGTTATGTGTCCATGCATGCGTACCACGCCTAGCTTTATAAGGCCGCGCACAGTAAGATGGGTTTCTGTATTTATGAAATAAATGAATAACAAAACACATACATGCATATATATGCATGCATATATATATATATATATATATATATATATATATATATATATATATATATATATGTTAGATGCGTCTTGTCTTAAAATGTGATGACCGAAATGCAAGGATATCTTTTTAGAGGAGAGCCCCAAACTCCAGGGGGCTCCACAACGTTGTGTGCCCCCTCCCTGACGAAATCCTGAACCTACCCCTGTCAGGCTGCACTGTCGGCAAGACTGAACCTTTGAAAACAGCGCAAAGATCGATCAGACCGCTTTTTCGCCATCGTAGTTATGCATTTAACCTTGACATTGGGCTGTATATAAACAAATAGCAGCTTTTGACCACGCGTCTGATGCCCATAATTGAGGCTAAGCCCTTCCACTTCGCTTTTAGATGGCTCAGATATGCTGAAAATAAATTGACGTAAATGAACATTCAGGCCAAGGCTTCAGCCCTCATTTGCACGGCACTTGATCTTGGTACTGTGCGGGGTACCTTGGTACTGTGCGGTACTGTACCAAGTGCGGGGCGAGTAGCATTGCATACCCTCCTATGCAGCATGTTTAAGCAGTGCGCAATGATTTTGCATCGTGAGATGCGCTTTGAAATTAAATGGGTTGTGGGAGGTGTCAGATGCTCCAAGGTACAATTCGTATCATTTGACCTTGGCCTGTAATCTTCAAACACACTTCACCCTCGCACTTTACCTTCACTTTGCTTCTTTTCACTTCGCACTGTATTTAACTTTACATCATACCTTCGCTCACACTTAAACTTATATTCGTTGTGTGGTCCAATACATCATTCTACAACGCCATCGAATGCAGTTTTTTTTTAATCTGCTCACCCGTTCTTGGGATAAGCAGGGGGTTAAATCTGCCCCTCCGGTCAATGGTGTGCCACTGAGAAACCCGGCCCATGCCGGGTCAACTGCATGACAATTTTTCATGTACCTCTGCCGCATGGGAACACTTATGAGCTCGGAAAAAGATGTAGCAATAGTTAAATTAAAGCGGTGAGGTGAAGCCTATATTACACATTATGTGCGGATCCGTAAATGTGACTGCATCGGTCCGCCATGCGCCATCGGCGGATTCCTCCGCCATGGTCGGTCCGCCATGCGCCATCGGCGGATCCCTCGAGTGCTACCCGCGCCGGCCATACATCGCCGTGCAGCGGTTCTGAAATGCCTTCTCTTTTCGAAAACTAAACCCTAAAGGCGCGTGATTTGTGTCACCAGTGGGCGCGCAATAAAGCCGCATAGATTGGTCAAAATTTGGGATCAATTTCACGACAAGCCAAAAAATCCTCAAAATACCTCAGGGGAAGGGCACCGAGCCCCCCTCCCCCCCCCCCCCTCTATAAGGGCGAGGGTGAATGAAGCGATCATATTTTGGAAAAAATGTGGGATAGGCTTTAAAATGCATGCATAACAGATGTGATGGAAGCATAGACTATAATAACAACCAGGATAGGGCTTGTGCTTGAGTCTGCGTATGTGGAAGTGATTCCAAATGATACTCAAATCACATTAAGATAAATATGAGTTCGATGCCAAGCGCTTTGAAAATCCGAACTGAGCCCGAACCTAAGGTAAAAGACATACATATTTGAATGTTTGCAATGACAAGGCATTGCCCACCATGCCCAATTCGGTTTTTACAAGCGGTTTGACAGCCTCAAACCTTTTGCAAAAGGAATTTTGGTTTTGCTGGGTACAATCGGCCGGTGATAATCGTTACTGATCCCAAACTGAGATTGAATGCCCTTCAGCTCCTGACAGCTCCTGACCAGAACATCCGACCTTTGCATGTTGAAGGTGATCCTCAGCTACAGCTTCAGCAACACAGGCAAAGGAGGGCACGCTATTTTGTCATGAGTTTGTGGCGCTGTGCGTGCCCATATGTCGCGGAGGTCAGTCTGAAAATAACGCAGATGAAGCCTACGGCCCGGGATATCTGCCACACTTGTAGCAGCTTTTTCACAAGGCACTGGAGAGAGCGAGAGAGAGACTTCGATGCGTGAACGTTTTCGCCGCCTGTTGACCGCCGCAGAGTGTTAGCTGCAAAGCCAACAGCGCCCAGCTAATGGAGACTGCAACGCCATACGTCAGTTTTTTCCTCAGGCGCGCGGGCACATGCACTTTAAACTATCCTATGACTGCTTTTCGCTGGTGGATTCCGAGGAAAGGATGAACTTCCCCAGGTGAACAAGGGCGAGCTGAACCAATGCATATTGGTGACTCTGGTTCGATCTACGCTGTTGCTCGATACAAGAACCCCTCAGTATCCTCCCAAACTTTCGATAATACCCGGTGACGCCTCGGACTACCATTCTGTTATAGAAAGGTACGACTGAGCCGTGTAAGGTGCTGAGATTCTGCGGTGTATTTGATAGCATCATTTTGTACCTGCTTAATTTGAGTTAATTTACTTCTAAGTTTATGCTAAATTGTATATTCGGGTGGCTTTTCGCCTCTATTTCAGTCAATGTTAAAAACTAAAAGAAGAAGATTGACCTTTGAAATAAAGTGGGCCAAGCCGGGTGCATCATTCCGGCTGAAGATAGTTTGCCGATTACAAAACAAGAATATTTAGGACGTATCTAGGCCGTGTTCAAGTGGCCTAAATGCAGGGACTTTTTCGTGAGGGGATAAACCAGGCTCAAGAAGGCGCCACAGTAATGCGTGGTTCTACCATTGACGAAATCCCGGATCTACCCCGATTAGGAGACACCCTCTTATTCATCAGAATGCCCCTATTCTTGACCAGAATGCCCCTATTCCATTCTATCCCACGCACCAGAAGGCCGCTGGCCCGGATCAAGATGGCTTTCTGGGATAATGAGGCGCTCCTGAATCTGGGGGCCCTGTTTGCAAACCTGAACGGTCTTATTCTGAATAGGGAGACGCCTGCATACATCAGAAGGCCCTTGTATGGAACAAGAGATACTGTTTTCGAATGGAGAGACCCCGTGTGATAAGGACCCAGTTTTCCCGGAACCCATTTTTCCGTCCCCCTCCACAAAGAAGTTCTACCCCTCAACCCGAAATCCGCGGCAACGCCGCAACACACCGCCATGGAGCATCGCATGGTGCGCCATTCCTGTGCTACCCGATGATTTGTAAAGACATGCCTTTATGTCTATTATTGTGAGCACCATACATGCTGGGCAAGAAACAGCACTGATGGCCCACCGTCATCGGACGGGATCAGGCGTGCCGGCCGTGCAAAGAGACGTCATACAGGACTGCTTCCTTAGCATGATCAGCACATAACACCTATGAGGCCGGTGACTCTGGCCATGATAAGATGCTGGACAACAGGGCGCCCTCGGTACACTACTGGCCAGCGTTTCGCATCGGTATCTTCCTCTTCAGTCTGTTCACAGGTGACCTCTTCAGTCTGTTCACGAGTAACCTCTTCAGTCTGTTCGCATGTGACCTCTCCTCTCAGTTGCTGGGCTGCCGAGTGTTAGTACACTGACACTGACAACTTCAGCACTGATACACTGGCGACAGCCAGCTGCTCGAGCACTCGGCGCTCAGCCCTCCAAATCTAGAACCGCGAAAACGTGTGTGAGCTTATTGGGCATCACATTCTCTGCACGATCCCTGATCGTGGAAAATACCTCTCCAAATAATTCGGCTCCACGCAAAGAAATGGCACCGTATATCATGATAAATGCGGCATAGAAGACTGTGCGCTCTAACCAAATAGTTCATATATTGTCCAAACAACAACACTCTTAGGCGTCTGACTATGCATCTACAAGCAATCACATACAGACACAAGCAAACACATATAGACACAAGCAAACGCATGTAGACCCAACACAATCAAGCTTAAAATGCCAAATGCCCAACAGTCATCGCACGTTCTACACAGAGACGGAGACCCATCGCTCCTGAAGCAATATACTTTTGCAAATAGCACCTTAAATTTATCATGAAACAAATGTACGTGAAGCCCTCAATCTGTATGGAGGGACACCTTTAGAGCGTAAAGCACCGGGGAAATCAGTGTTTTGTGTGTCACCAATTATATATATATACATATATATATATATATATATATATATATATATATATATATATATATATATATATATATATATGCGTGGCATGTTTGTCCGACGCCTGTATCAAAACAGATGATGTCTGTAGGCATGAGGTCCGTGTTTAAACAGCTGCTGGAAAACTTTGATTTTTTCAATGATGAGACTTAATTGACTGTGCCCAAAACGGCTCCTCCTGAGATTTTCTCATGCAGGACGAAACGTAGAGAAGCTAACAAATGCCAGGTCATGTGACATAACAATGTATGTCTTAATTTATCAGAAGCTTTGGTACATTTCAGCAGGGGGAAGAGCAAAAAGTTGAGATGTAATCATGAGTTGATAGACCTGACGTTGATTTAACGGCTTTAAATGTACCAGGAAGTGCTGAGTTAGCGACGTTGTGCTAAGTAACGATTACATTAAAGGTACTGAATATATTGGGCTGTTCTCATCCTCAAAAGGGAAGGAAAAACCAGAAGCTGAAGACTTTTGGTGTCTTATATCAGGTTAACGTTTTCATGAGATTGATCATATATACACACATACATGTGCATATATATATATATATATATATATATATAATATATGTGTGTGTGTGTGTGTGTGTGTGTGTGTGTGCATGTGTGTGTGTGTGTGTGTGTGTGTGGTGTGTGTGTGTGTGTGTGTGTGTGTGTGTGTGTGTGTGTGTGTGTGTGTGTGTGTGTGTGTGTGTGTGTGTGTGTGTGTGTGTGTGTGTGTGTGTGTGTGTGTGTGTGTGTGTGTGTGTGTGTGTGTGTGTGGTGTGTGTGTGTGTGTGTGTGTGTGTGTGTGTGTGTGTGTGTGTGTGTGTGTGTGTGTGTGTGTGTGTGTGTGTGTGTGTGTGTGTGTGTGTGTGTGTGTGTGTGTGTGTGTGTGTGTGTGTGTGTGTGTGTGTGTGTGTGTGTGTGTGTGTGTGTGTGTGTGTGTGTGTGTGTGTGTGTGTGTGTGGTGTGTGTGTGTGTGTGTGTGTGTGTGTTAACGGAAATATCATGTGCTGTAGACATTAAAAAACATTGTTGCACTAGATCACCAACATTCGGTAACTGAGTAAACTTCCATGATTCTCCCAAGCACATAACCAAGGCTGCAGCATGCTTTGTTATGTGCGCTATTTCACACAAGCCACAAATGCGTTTAAAATTGCAACAGCACAGCTAACGAGTGTGACCAGTTTCTGAAAGTCCACCACTGTTGCATGCTCTTGTACTGGACGCATTCACCTCGGTTCCGATCGCTCCAGGTGACGTCTCAGCCCGGATACTTCCTGGGTCGATTTAGTGCCGGGGTGCTGTTATTGGGTCCGCAACTCTGCTTTCTGTCACGCCGTTGAGCTTGGCTGGTAGATATGGCCTTTGCCCCGACCAGTAGCCCGAAAGAGGCCATGAGGAGAGCCAGCATAGTGGTCATCCAGGGGAAGTCGTAGATGTCCACAAGAATACCCCCTGAGAGAGGTCCGACAGCTAGGCCAATCAAAAATGCCATTTGATATGCGCTGGAGACGAATGACCGTGTAGACAAGTTGTCTTCGAGGCCAATCTCGATGCTCGAATCAAGCATGGTCTTAAAACAGGGAGTCAAGGCACCGCCAGAAAACGCTTGTGCAATGGCCATACCCAGACCGGTTAGCCACCAAATTGGCTTCAAACCTAGCAGGGGAGATGGCGACAGCAGTAGAATACCAGCGCTGGAGACAATGAGACATGGCGACATAATTTTATAGCGATTTTGCTGACGGTCAGCCAGCCATCCCGAAAAAAGGTTCATGATGGAGCAACAAGAGGTGCTAACCAGATAGTAGAAGCCAACTTGCGATGGCGGTACGCCAAGGACGTCATTGGCGTAAGGAGCGAAGGCTGCCGCTACCGTGCTTACATATAATGCGTACGCGAACACGGTCACCATACAGGCCCAGTTGCCGGTCGACTTGGCGAAAAGACGTAGTGTTTTCAAGAAGTTCGCGCTAGATCCGTTGGCTGCTTGTTGGATGGTCGGCATGAGGCGCAGGTTAAGAGCCGCCATCAGCAGCATGATGACGCCAAGCGTGTAGAAGGGTGTGCCGAAGCCACCGAGGGCGAACAAGCCGCCCCAGATCGCTGGCGTCAACGCTAGGCCGATTGTCAGAGATGAGATCATCAGCGCCACGACCCTGTTCACTCTGCTGGGGAACTGGCTGCCAGCGATGGTGAAGCCGCAGATGGTAATAGCTTCCGAGCCAATGGCTTCCACCAGCCTCACCAAGTAGCAAGCCGCCACGAACGTAGACGTGTCTGCGATGTAATTGAGCGTGCCGAAGACGATGGTAGTAAGGCCGGCAGTAACCAGGCCAAAATTGTACAGCCGGTTAAGGCCAATCAAAGGCACCAACCGACCAATAAACGGGTTCGTGATCATCCTCGCTACCGAGAAACAGCTGAATAGACCACTGATGACAGTTTGTGAGACGCCTCTCGAGGCGGCCTCAACGGGAAAGAACGGGATCATGACGGCTATCAGAGAGCCGTTCAACATCCTCACCACCGCCAGGCTGGCCAACAGTTTCTTCTGAACCGACGTCATGCCAGATTTCTGCGTCGCATGCTGCTCTCCCTCGACGCGGTGCTCGCCATCCGAAGGCCCGCTTCCGTTGCTTGGGAGCTGGGCGGACTGGTGCTCAGGATCGGTGTACAATTCGAACCTCCTCTTGCCCTTCTCCTTTGACAACAGCCTTTCGGACTCCATGCTGGCCAACCTTCCGGCAAATAAGCCGTCTAGCCTGGCGTCGCCCTCGCCGTCGCCTGCAAGTTAAGCAGCACTGCACGTGACCGACCAGGCGTCCAGCTGCCCCGCCTGCCGACTGGCGGCCGCTCTGTGGTGGTCCCTGGGGTGACGCACGTGTTGAACATGACCTCGCCAGCCCGTTAAATTCGCGCACGCGGGCAGAAGATCGCGCCGAGCTCAGCCTGCAGCTAATCGCACCGGATGCCGGTCGCGCGGAGCACCAGAGCTCGGTAAACATCGGGCCGCGCCCCTGAAGTGCTGAGCGGCAGCCTCTGAGATAGGACGCTCGACCTGCGGGCGCTTTGGTCGTGGTCCGCCTCATTAGGGGTGAGTCTCGCGTCGCGAACGACCAGATGTCGGGCAGAGCAGGTATCGCGTAAGAGCATACAATTGCATCCGGTTCCGTGAACGTGGCAGCTGCACGTGCTCACTCCTCATCACGCGCATGCCTTTGTGTGTGTGTGTTTTCTTCGCGTGATTTCACGGCGTTCCTTTTTCGAGACGTTCTAAATTTTGACTGTTTTGCAGGACGTCGTATTATGCTGGATTATATGACGTCGTCGTGCCTTCGTGTGTCACGAAGGGTGCATCACTGTGCTTGTGTGCGGTTCACCATAAGCGGCGTAGTGCTGCTGTTGACCGGTCGGTCGGGGCACATTACGGTAGTTTAGAGGGAACTGGCCGTGGTCCGGCCTGGTCTCCTGACGCGCGCTCCTGGTCTCCTGACGCGCGCTCCTGGTCGCTCAAATCGCGCCACGACCAGGGCCGGCTGGAGCGTAGCAATGTTTGGGGGGTGGGAGGATGTACTGGGTGGGAAAGCGACGGACCCAGCTGGTCAGCTGAGAAGGGGCCAAAATAGGAGGGAGAGTGAAATCATCTGGGCCTTTGGTCCACCCGTGCCCTGTGCAGAGGCCTGACTGCTTGGGGGTCTCTCTTTTCCATTCAATGACGGCTCTCCTCTTGAATCAAGAGGCTTGTTAAGATTGCATCATTAAATGTCAGTGGACTCCGATCCAATGGGCACACGAGCAAGCAAATACAGTTGTTGTTTGTTTTTTGCTGATTTAAAAAACGGAGATTAGATATAGTGTTTATGCAGGAGACACATTCAGACATCACAACTGAAAATATGTGGCTGAGCGAATGGGAAGGACGGGGTGTTTTTCTCACGACGACAACAGGAGCGGAGGGGTCGCCATCCTTATCAAACCGGACATGAAAATTTTCATCCAAACAATCGTGAAGTGTCCATCAGGTCATCTTGTTAGTCTCGTTGTCGACATCACCAGCAACACAGTTACGTTAGTAAACGCATAAGGTCCGAATGCAGACAGCCCGGGTCACTTTCGCACTTTACTTGACAGTGCGAAGAAGTGCGAGCTGGGGACACCATATGGGGCGGGGATTTTAACTTCTGCTTAGACGTGGAGATCGATAGGTTTACAGCTGCAGCTAGGTGTTGCAACAACGACGAATCAAAACGGAATGTCCAAGAATTCATGCGAGCAAACTTCGTAATAGATATTTGGAGGTCATTGAAACCTGAAGTTCGTGTGTACACATATGAATCGAGAAACCCGCTGAGTAAACCTAGGATTGATTTCCTTCTGATTAGTGACAACTTTCTTTACCAGGCTGAAGCACCTAAAGCAGAAATTGTGGACGGATTTCTGTCCGATAATAGCGCGGTCGTTGTCGAGCTGAGCATCCACAAAACTTGACTGGGCAAATCACATTTGAAGTTTAATAATTCGTTGTTGCTCGACGATGTTTGCCTCCAGTCGGCCAGGCCGAAAATGGCTGAAATTAGCTGAGATAATTCGACAGGAATATCAACGTATTTGCTCTTGCAGACAGCATTTCACGTAATCCTGGGGTGGATCATGCAATATTCGTCCCGCAAAAAGAAAGAGAAGGAGAAGTGGTCAAAGGATTTAGAGAATGCTATAAGTACGTTCCAAAGGTCTAACTTATGCACACCAGTCGATTCTGACGCAAGTCCAAAGCTTGCCAGTGCTAAAAAAGAAAGAGACGACATTCTAAGAAGCATAACTTGTCGGGGTGTGTTACGTTGTCAGGGTCGGTGCCGACACCTTGCGGAGCGAGGTACTGCTTACTTTTACGGGCTGAACAAACGCCTCTACGGGCCTGGACAAACGATGTTTAGGTGAATTATATTGAACCATACTAAAGCCGGGCATACCACAGAATCCACTTTGGAGATATTAGAAGAATTCCGCCTCTATTTTGAAACACTATACAAGCGATCGGCATCCAACGCTTCGAGCGAATTCATTTCATGTATCCATGGCATGACAAAGGCGGAAGCAGAGGAGCTGGAAGGGCCTCTTACAGAGCAAGAACTCCTTGCAACTCTGGCGTCCATGGAAATCTCGACTAGTCCTGGTCCGGACGGTTACACGGTATTTTTTACAACGTTTTTTGGCAGGAACTGGGCACAATGGTCTGTGCGGCTGTTAGAGAAATACATGAGTATGCCCACATTCCACCAGAGCTGCAGAAGAACGTGACAATTCTCGTCCCGAAGAAAGGCAAAACTAAGGTGCTGATGGAATCATTACGACCTATAAGCCTCCTCAACGTGGTCTTTAAAATTTTGACAAAAACGCTAGTCAGGTGCACTGGGAAAGTGTTTCGTGGACTTATCAACGAAGACCACGCGGGATTCATAAAAGCGGGATGAATCGGAGAAAATGTCCAAACCGTGCTGGAATTACTGGAAACCGCACAGGAAACCGAGATTCCAGGACTTCTTTTGTTTGGCGACTGGCAAAAAGTATATGACTCTGAGGCTTGGGGATACTTAAAAGCGGTTGTTCAACGATTTTGTTTTTGTGCATTCATGCGTAAACGGATCGATATAATTGATCGGGAAGATCACTCCTCTAGCGCAGCGCAGTTACAAATTAACGATGAGATGTCAAAACCGTGTCAAATTATGAGAGGCCTGAAACAGGAACGCCCTTTAAATTGTAGCCTGTCCCTGTTGTGCATAGATCCTAAACTGGAACAAATCCGCGATAAAGTCCGGATTCGAAGCTCTACCTTCGGGGAACAGAAATGAAAGTATCTGCTTACGCGAACGACACATTGATAGTGATTAATGGCCGAGCAGAACCGCTGAGAGAGTCCATTAGCCTGTTAACTAATTTTCACAGCGTGTCTGGCCTAAAATTAAATGCACAAAAAACGCGAGTCATGTGGATTGGAAGCAACCGGCGTAATCGGACTGGCATATGTCCAGATCTAGGTCTTGCGTGGGAATTCGGTTCAGAGCAATATCTGGGCCTTAAAATCGGTTCAAACAGTGCAAAATTGGCCGCAATTAGCTACGATGCCAAAATAGACCACCTGAGGGATAAACTCAACCCCTCTCTCTCTCTGGCTTTTTCGCGGGCTCACACCGTAGGGAAAGGCTCACGTCTTGAAGTCTGAGGTACTGTCGCAGGTTATTTACGTCATGTCAGTTTTCGAAAAGCCAACATGGCAGCAAATAAAACAAATCAAATCGTTGATGCTTTATTTTGTCTGCGGCAAAGCAGATAAGATAAAACGACCTAAAGTTAAAAACGCTTGGCAGCACAGAGGGCTTCAGTTCCAGACTTGAGCGTTCAGGCGGACAGCAGAACATGGCGTGGGTAAGAAGAGTGCTCGACACGGAATGTAGAACCAAGTGGAAAGCTTTAGTGCAAACAAAATTATTTGTTGACAACGATGTCACAATTTTTCACTGCGGTGAGGACCTCTACATGGTGCGCGAACTGTACAAAGACAAATTTCGGTTCGAGGCAGTAGCCGCCTGGTACAAAATAAGCCACGTAGAAAAATTATCCGGTAGCGAGGTATTGCCAAAGCCACTTTGGTTTAATAAACATATGCACCTCGAAGGTAACAATAACTTTCAAAAACAGACCCTGATCAGACACGGTGTTGTAACAGTGGCTAACTTGTACGATCTTGAGCGACGAAGGATTAAAGAAGGAATTGAGCTACGACGCCAACATAACTCAGCTTTCTTCTATGGCATACACAATTATCAAAGCTGCTTGGAGATTGGAAAGCATAGCTCATACGAAACAGACCACAAACATCAAAGCTGCCGGTTTGTTTTGAGCAGATTATTAAGACACCCAGAAGCGCGAAGTGGTCTTCGGTATCCCGCTAAAACGGACTAAGTGGACTTATCCTGAGAAGGCGTAGAGAAAGTGGGGAAGAGAGCAAACTCTCCCAGAGGCGTTTAACTGGAGCCAAATGTTTTCATTCCTATACAAAAACACATAGTATTTTGCACCGCATGCCGCCAACGAACAGACGCCTTGCTTTGTACGAAAACACGGCTCAGACGCATGTGAGTAATGTCCAGAACGTTGCGAGACCTTTTCACACATATGTTGGCACTGTCCTGAGGCTAGAAGGTTTTGGGTTGACCTACAGCGCGCCTTGCAAATTCAACTTACCACGCAGTCCGTGATCCTGGGTCACCACGAGGGTAATCACTCCCTGCACTCCGGAGCGGTGTTTGTGAGCATTATTTTAGGCAAATCATACATATGGCTTGGTGGGAGCTCTGGCTCTCGCACAGACCTGCAGTGCTTTGTTAAGTCCGCACTACACAGAGTTACATCAGAGTTGAAAAATACATATCTACCGTCACAAACGAGATGAACATATTTTGCGACAAGTGGACTCGCTTGACTGAGCTGAACAGTGAGAGGCCGCCTTAAACTGTCCAGCGTCTCATGAGGCGCACGGCATGACAACGGACCGGCTGACGCTATTTCACTCGCATTGGCCGTCAAATGCCCCTGGACATCTTGGTGACGAAATTATCTGCTTCTTGTCGGCTCGTGGGGAGGCAGAGTAACTGACCGTCGTGGGGAATGGGAGGGTAGGAGAGTAGGCTGGGAGTTAGGGTGTGGTGTGTGTGGGAGAGGGTTGCATGAAAGGAGATGGGTCGTCAGTTGGATTAAATGTGCTGCTATTGTGGTGTTAGTTTGATGTTAATCGTGTTGTAGTCGGATGTGACGCGTTATATTGGCTGTCCATGGGCCGTAAATGTGCCGAAGTTGAATGCTTGTCGGCATGGCTAAAACTAAAATATAATAAACTTCGAAAAAGAAAAACTCGCGTCGGATGCGGGACCTCGTTCGTCTCGAGATGCGCACCGTTGGCACAATGTCTCACTGGTGTGATGTGCTGACGATATGTCATAGCCTGCCCCGGTAGAGGGAGTAAGTTGATCCTTATTTGCTCCTTGCTTACTCTCACTCTCTTTTGATAATAGCGCAGCTATCTACTGTTTATTCGCAGCTAAGAACAGATAGCGCAGTCTTCAGCTATGTCGGTAGCGAACAGCAATGAAATAGCAATTATGTTATGCGCGTGCACTGTGCGTTAGGATTTCTACGAACACAACACCGGATTTGAAAACCAAGTTTAGGCACCTTGGGCATTTCCGATCCATATCAGTCTATGAAACTAATTGATTCCTACCTGGGAAGCATGCGGCCTCAGGACTGCTACCTCTGACTCGTTTGCATGCAAATTGTAAAAGAAAAGAGTAAGTAGGTATAATCATATCAAAAATCCTCTGAGGTTTCATCCTCTTGGAAAAATCCTCTTTAAGTCCCCTTAGGCTTTAGTACGTGCTGTTTCTTAGAGCTCAATTCTGGCACCTTAGACTGAAATGTAGCACAAAGCAGCTGCGCGTAACAGACTAAATGCAGATGTAAGCCATGGCAGCAGGTATGTCAGAGGGGTGGAGTCATTGATAACAGGCCCATTTGTTCAACAGTGTGGTTGTGAAGCTTGACCGGAGTCGAAGGGAGCTGAAGAGTCTGCCATACAGTCGGTTCTGTTCGCGTATCAGGCGAATGAGTGATAAGTATTCGTTGAAGTCAGCAAAGTCATCAAAGTTTTAAGGTTTCCAACCAAACCTTGGATAAATTCGATATACTTCTGGGGTCCGCGCCTACGCAGTGTTGCTTGACGCGTGAGCCCTGACGTCACCATGCCATCGGCCAACTCCGAGGCAACGGTAGAATTTGCGGCGAAAGCGTATCTTGCCGCAACACCTGGCACTTCTACTCTTCTCGTGAAGGTAAGGCGCTCTAACGTCACCTGACCTTAACCGCACCGGCTGCTACTGACCGCAGTCCATGCCAGCCAAGACCAAATACAGTTTTGTATAGTTTGACTTAGGTCACATCGTTTCGTCTTAGGTGTCCCAAAATCGCTCTAACATTTCAAAAACAGCAAACAAACAAAGCCGCGCGTCTCATCGTCAAATACTATGTTTGTCCGTTCGCTAGCTTCTTGTTGTGCTCTGCGCTCCGCTGCTAGTTCGCCATATTTTCCCGGAAACGATCACAACGGGTTCGTCATCTCCCCCCCCCCCCCCCCCCCCCCGATACGCCCGATGTCCATCTGGAAACCATCACAAATGCCGTCAGCCGCTCGACTGGACCCAAGCGGTCGGCTGCGCCCGCAGTTTGGGTCAGGCCATCAGTTAGGTCTTCCAGGGATCGGCCACTTGCAAGGTTGGACACATGACACACACATGACACGACACATGACACACGCACACACACACATACACATACACACACACACACACACACACACACACACACACACACACACACACACACACACACACACACACACACACACACACACACACACACACACACACACACACACACACACACACACACACACACACACACACACACACACACACACACACACACACACACACACACACACACACACACACATGACATGATTTAATGTCAAAATTGTGTTTAGCTGGTCGGACGACATGCTGGTTTTGATCAAACCACTTGGGGCCTGGGGTCATCTTCCCAAATTTTCCCCAAATGGGATTTTTCCCCACCCATTGTTTACGGCGAATGCACGTTGTTTACGTTTCAACATTCATTATGTCATTTTTAGGCCACGCTTTCCACCAGATCTCAATTTGACCCCTCCATCCTGCTTTATCCCCAGATTTAGAGGCGTGGTCACACTCTTGTATATATCGACGTTTGTTTGCAATGACTTTGGATGTCCCGTCCCCTTTCCCAACTCGCATACTGATAAGCCAGCACTGAGAGCAGCGCACAATGCGCGCTCCTCTCCCTGCAACCCGCAGACGGATGACAACGGCCAATCGCAGAAATAACAATTACAGCCATATCTGGTGCCGGTGGTGCTACATTGTGCACCCGCCTCCTCGCACCTCTAAACATTGGACGCATTAGGCCGGAGTGTGTCTGGCGTCGACAGCCCGAATGCCTCTTGACGGCGAATGAAGAGTCTCCAGAGTCAATGCGTTTAGGCGCACAGAGTTTATTGTAAACGCAGAGTCATTTGGGTCACCGAGAACAGGCCCTCGGTGAGAGCAGATTCATTTAGGCACCAAATGGGCTTTGTCGGGTTTCGACTCCGTTGATATAAAACAAAAACAAATAATGGAAATAATATGATGATTTCCTGGAAGGTAGGAAGGTAGGATGGCTAAGGTAGGATGAAAAGTAGAACAAGATGATGCATGAGCTACTCAAAATGACCGCCAGATCTTTAAAAGCAATAGCAGTTCGTGCAAACCAATAAGCAGCCCTTTTTTCAATTTGCAACCCGAAAGCCGAACGAATCGGTCAGCTTACGTTTATCCGAGTGGCGGCGCTACTGTTGCCTTTGTTGACGGAAGCGGCAAATTTTAGAGTGGCTGAGGCCGCACCAAGCTGTTTTTAAAGAAAGATTTTCAGCACCACGGCTGTTTTTTCACTTGCCCCGTAAGAGTTGGGCTTAAGAGTTAAGGGCTTACTGGCTGACGTTAACCGTTTTAAAGTTTATACAGTGCAGCCTCAAACTGCCAGACGTTTGACAATGTTTGCCTGGAGTTGAACTCCACGCTTTACACGCCAGACACGCTGCTGCAGTACAGGGTGTATTTTCATGAGCAGCTGGTGCCAAGCACGAACCGCACACTGTCCCCGAAGGCTTCCAGCATTGGCAAGACATCCGTGAGGCATTGACTATGAAGGAGCTCGAATCGCTCCCGTTTCGTGGGGTCTGCAGTCTCGGTGACAGGTGAAGTAATGCAAAATCAGGTCAGGTCCAACTGCACGCTGACACCAGACTAGCCTCGTATTTCGTTGGTCAACGAGGGACATCAGAAATGTCCGCGCGAAAGATAACTGCTTCGGCCGAACTGCCGCACACCTTTGAAGCAGGACAGTGAGCCCCTGGAGGCCATGCGGGGAACAAAACTACGCTTATGTGACCTGATGCTCTGCCTGACTTCATTTCAGATTCCGAGAAGATAACCGTAGGCTGCAGTTTCGCAATAATGCGATCATGCATATCCCATGATTTCGGCGACGTATCGCAAAATAGCACTTCATGTCTAACAAAACCACAATTCATAAGTCATCAGCTATCAACTGACACCCATGTAAAACAAGCCAAACGCAACATAGGAAACCGCTCCATACGTCAGTGCTTCAAAACAAAAACAAAAGCATCACAGCTCCTGTGCCACATCACCTAAACAGCAGGCACCCCCACATCCCAATAAGCGTCACGCCAATCAGCTGATCTGACTCTCCACGCCCTTTCCTTCCAGCGCACAGCCGTGCCCCGCACACGCCCGCGCCTGCCACTATGTCCTCTCCTCCGGCTGCTGAGGCGCGCCAACGTCCATGCCCAGGAGACCGTACACCCGGCGCCAGATGGCCATCCGCTGGCGCTGGCCGTCGCGGAGGAGGTCCGTGTACCCGATCTCCGCCATGCCGAGGCGGGAACACATCCAGTCGGAAGAGTCTGTCAGCTGGTAGCCCTTGACCCGGTCGGTGATCTCGTGCTGCTGCCCTTGCAGCTCGCTGCCCTTAGCCTCGGAGGCCACGCAGCGCTGCTTGTAGTGCAGGCAGCGCGCCACGAGCGCCTCCGTGCGCGCCAGAAACGTCGCGATTGGCACGGCGGCGATCTGCTGGGCCAGGCGCTGCCGGAAGTGGCGGTACAGAATCATGTCCAGCTCCAGGAACTCCTCCAGCGCCGCCCGGTCGGCGCGACTCATCGGGGTTCGCAGCGCGTCGAAGCGCGCGTTCTTGGTGAGGTAGATGACGTCATCAGTCGACCAGCACATCAACTGACGCAGCAGCACCAGCGACTCGTCCATCATCTCGGCTATCATCACAAGGTCGAAGGCCTTGTCGAGGTCGTCGAGCATGGCCTGCACGAGGCGCGGTTCGCTGACGATGGCTGGGTCGTATCCGAGGTCAAAGGCCATCTGGCTGCCGCCGAAGCGCCTGTGGCGGGGGCGCGTAGGTCAACAAGGTTGGCGGTGGCAGGGTCACGTGGCGAGCAGCACGCATGTCGAGAGGGGCGATGACGGTCACAATGTGTAGACGAAACAAACAAAGAATATACAAGGAAAGAAATAATACTTAACCACTTGCATTATCTCCTACCGTAGATCACGTTGCATTGCGTTTGTAACAGAGGGTGTCCTTTTACTAAGCATAACGTCAGGGCCAGCGTTTCCTGTCATGATAACTGCGTCTCATCTGTTTTTGGAACGAGTAGTGCCGCAGCTGGGATTGGGCCAAGGCTCCACGGACCAAACATGGCAGCAGCATGGGCCTGCCGGTGCTATTCTAGTTCCCACCTCCTCGATGTGCTGCCAGGACAGGAAACAGGACCCTGCCGCTCAAAACAGCGAAAAAAAGAACGGAACCTCTTTTTACCTCCCTCCGCTTCAGATTCATTTCCGAGCAATTTTCTAATGCTGGGCTCAGGCTAGGGCTCATTGAAAACAAGAACAACCGGTGCTGGGCCTACCCCAATCCCGAACTGCCCTCGTGCCCTCTCACCCATGGCCGATCCTCGCCAGAGCCTGCTTCCTCTCCAGCGGCAGAGCGATGAATTGTCTCAGCGTCATATTCCAGTGTTGCGGAATCGCGAAGTGGTAGTAGTCGAAGGCCGACTCGAACTGTGCCACGGGATCGCGCAGGATCGTGACCCACGCAGCGTGATCTTGCATCACGCGGCGCGTCTCGGCCACGTGCAGCCGCGTGTGGTGCGCGAACACGTCAAACTTGCCAGAGCGGGGCCAAAGCCAATCCGGAATGAATAGCCTGTTGAACGGCGTCTGCAGGCACAGAGGTCATGGGTCAGTTGGGTCGCATGGGCCAATAAGGTCACAGGGCTAGATGGCCAGGTGGATCAAGGTGGTCCCAGGTCAGATAGGTCACAGGTGTCACGAGTCAGCCAGGAGTCACGGGTCAGATGGGTCACAGGGGTCACGGATCAGATGGGTCACAGAGATCCCAGGTTGGATTGGTCACAAGACCTAGGGTCAGTTGGGTCGCGTAGGTGACGGGCCATTTGACCTGTGATCCGTGATATCCGTGACGCTAGCACGTTCGTAGTAGCTATACAGCTTGTGCAAGTGACATCACCAGTGATGGAACTGTAACATAATGGCTCCTCGGGGTAACGACAACGAAGTGGTTAAGTCGTACATCTGGGAAACCAGAGGCAAGGAGTTCGATTCCCTGAGATGTTTGCCATTCCTGCTAGGGTGAGACGCGGGCAAGAGCACGTCGTGAAGCAAAAATCCCACATGATGGCTGCTCATGTCAACCACGTCGCTTGTTGAGATTTGCCCCCATGTCCGAGCCTGACTACCTTACTACTCGACTACTGGGTACTGGGTTCTTGACTACTGGGTATCCTCGTTTCTGCATACATTTGCTGTTAGCTGAAATTTTGTAAAATGCGCTTGTACTGAGCTCGTTTATTTCGGCTTATCAAATATATATCAATGTGTGGTGTTCTCAGACCGTGGCAGAAGTCTTATGTTCCGAGGTCCACACCGCTACTTCGCACCGATACAATGATATACCGCCGTGACCGCGTCCCATGTGACTGGAGGGTGGTGTTTAACTCCGCCAATATTGACAACAAGTGGGCGACACTTCCTCAAACGTGCCAGCGGGGCCTGACCGACACGCCCTCTTTACCGGCATAGAGATCCGAAACAGATGAGTGCCACCTATCTCCGAAACACCACGTGCTCTCACCGCTGGCTGAGCCGCGGCTCGGAGATCGGACAGACTTGACTCAGACCCGTGTTACAGCCGAGGCTCAGAACCGTGTAACAGCCGGGCTCAGACCCGTGTCACGGCTGGGCGCAGACCTGTGCTACAGCTGGGGCACAGATCCGTGTCACAACCGGGCTCAGATCAATGTCACAACTGTGCTCAGGTCCGTGTTACAACCGGGGCTCAGACCCCTGTCACAGCTGGGGCTCAGATCCGTGTCGCAACTGGGCTCAGGTCCGTGTTACAACCGAGTATCAGACCCGTGTCACAGCTGGGGCTCAGACCCGTGTCACAGCCGGGGCTCAGACCCTTGTCATAGCTGGGGCTCAAATCCGTGTCACAACTGGGCTCATACCCGTGTTACAACCGGGTATCAGACCCGTGTCACAGCTCGGGCACAGATCCGTGTCACAACCGGGGCTCAGACCCGTGTCACAGCTGGGGCTCGGACCCGTGTCAGAGCCCGGCTCAGACCCGTGTCACAACCGAGGGTCAGAGCCGCGTCACGACGCAAGTGTTACCCACAGATCGGGATCTACGATCTGGCGCGTCACAAACATGGCATCGCCGATAAAGCTGATAAGCATAAAGCAGGCTCTGTGTGTGCCGCTGTGCCGCACATCATGCAGGCATCGTGCATCATAAACTACATAGCACGCATAACCACAGCGAGGTGTCGTCTGTAGGGCCGGGTGTTCTCAGAGCGGGATTGCCAATGCCGGGCAGAGATTACTTTACGAGGTTTTCGGGCGTCGCGACGCTCGACGCGGCTGGCCTCCGTAGCCTTGACATGCAGCCTTCAATATGGTGCTTCGAATGTTCGCAGCGTTCAAAGCACCGTGTTTATCTGAATGAGCCCTTCGTCTGCGTCGATGACGGGCTGTGCATAAGCCCTTTTGATGTGTATTTTAGCTGCAATGTTCACACATTTTTGTACATGGTACGCACCTAACGGACGCAGCACGAAGCGTCTGTACTATAGAAAAATACAACTGAAGTATTTATTTTGAGGTCCGGTTAAGCTCTCAACCCCCAAATTATGTGCAATCTCTATCCTTTCTGTCATTACAAGGCAGTTCAGAAGATTCTAAAAACCAAGTCTACCTCTAATTGTCTTTTAACCATCGCCTTCTTCTCAAACTAAATGGTTTCGGTGCCTCCAATCCATCGAAAATCTCTCTTCAAGATATCAGACCGAAATGTACCGGCCGTGAATGAGGTAAAACTTTCTTTCCTTAATTTATTGACTTAAGTAAACGCTCTGGTGGGGCTGACCACTCCAGATAAGTCACAGCATGACAGTTTGACAGCATCATCATCAGCTAGTCAGAACACTACCTCTCAGCATGTAGAGGGTCATGTTCACAAACTCATCAAGTATCCGACAGGTTTGCACCCTCCGACAGATTAACCGGGATCTTCCGCAGAGCTCCTCTCTGGTATGGCTGTCTGGCGAGGCGGGCGACATTCCGCAGTTCTCTGGCATGGCTGTCTGGCGAGGCGGGCGACATTCCGCAGTTCTCTGGCATGGTTGTCTGGCGAGGCGGACGACATCCGCAGTTCTCTGGCATCGCTGTCCGGCGAGGCGGACGACATTCTGCAGTCCTCTGGTATGGCACTCTGGCGAGGCAGACGACGCTTCACATCTGCTCGCTGGTGGAGCGGGTCGGCATCTGAAGCTATTCTGCTGACCGCAAGAGCGCCGGGCTCCAGAATGAATATTTCGCTGGCGTTGTCGATCGGCTCATTTTGGCAGACGTAGGCATTCGCGTGGATCTACACGGCTTGTGCCACCCCTTCGAAACGCGTGCAGGCAACTAGGATCAGGTGGTAGGAGATGGTGGTATGAGTCTCCAAGAGGCAGGAGACAGTGGGTAATCACATTCAGGGCGGTGCCGTGAGCCTGGATCAAAGCAATGCCAGGTCAGCTGAAGTGTGGTCCTCCATTCCGGAGATGCAAGCAGCCGTGGAGCAACTGCAAGTAAAATGTCAGCTGACAAGGTCAACGGACTTAGCTGCCGCAGTTTCAAACTTCTGCCTTATGCGGAGCGTTATGAGTCGGGTTATCTTACTCTGAGAATAGCCCATCTTCAGTATACTGGGGGATGCCGATTAAGCGACGTTTTCAGAGAAGCACTGGCTAAAGCTAAGAGCCGCGATCAGCGGCTGCAAAGAAGAACCCTTGTGAAGTGTGTGCTTGTGCGGCCAAAACAGTAGTTGCGCGGTTACGCCTTGCCCTGACCATACTCACTCCAGTGTACTGAGAGGAATGTGTGAGGTCCGTGAAAATGAAGTGATCCCCTACGCACACCTTTGATGACCTATGAGCTGTAGGGCATGCGATAACTTCGGCTGACAAACACGACGACCTGGCACTGCGTCGCGCGTCCATTTGATCCACGGCACAAACGGCAGAGTGTCGGGGTGATGCTGAGTCGAGGCATGACGCACGGGTGATTTACCATAGCCATGGTTTGCTGGCGCTATTTGTTATCCACTAGCCGTTATGGTGCACTACCATGCTGTGTTACTTGAGCCACAGGATAAACGTAAGACGCCGCTGTCCCAACTTGTGACGATATCATCTGTGTCGAGTTAACCCCTAACCGTGCACGCTCTCACACCGTCACTCGTCACCCGCCACCTGCACAGCAATCACTTCTGGTAGGTGAGGTAAATGTATTGCTTACAGTTGGAACACATCAAGAAACTGATCATCATGTTTCAAACACAAGACTACCTCGACACGGACCGAGCTAACGACTGGGCCAAAAAGCGCAACACATGGCACGGACTCCATTCCAATTATTCCTGTCTCTCAGCTGATCCATGTTCTGCATCTGGATGCTGGCATGTGCCTTAAAACTTACTAAAAACGGCCTTAACACCAACGAAAACCCTAACAAGGGTTGTGGCCAAAGCGAGCGCGATAATCATCCAAGGAAATCCGTACGTATCCACAACAATGCCCCCGAAAGGCGACCAACTGCTATTCCCAATGGCAAACTAATTTGGCCTCCAATAAATATGGGCTCGATCGTCATCCCTAGACCTGTAGCCCACCAGCCAGGGTCCAAGCCAAATGACGAAGAAGGAGCCACTAACAAGATTGCTAGGCTGGCGACAAGGAGGCATGGCGACATCACCTTGTAACGATTTTGCACAAGCTCAGCCAGCGATCCCCAGAAAAAGTTCATACCGGCATATAGCGTAGTGCTGACGATGTAGAAGAGACCAACCTGTGACGAGGAAACACCGAGCACATCATTGGCGTAAGGAACGAGGGTTGAATCCACTGTGCTCACATTTCCAGCATACACAAACACGATCATCATACACACCCAGTTGCCCGCCGATCCGGCCAGCAGCCGCAGAGACCCCAGCAAATGTGTCTGAGATCCACTGTTGGTCTGCTCGATGGTCGGCATCAGGCGCTGGTTGATGGCAGCCATCAGCAGCATGATGACGTCAAGCCTGTAGAAGGGGATGCCGAAGGCACCGAGGGCGAACAAGCCACCCCAAATGGCCGGCGTCAAGGCTAAGCCGATGGTCAGAGCTGAGTTCAGGAGCGCCACGATCCTGTTCACCTTGTCGCAGAATAGGCTGTCGACGACGGTAAAGCTACAGATGGTAATGGCTGCCGAACCCACCACCTCCAACAGCCTCACCAAGAAGCAGGCCGCCACAAAGGTAGATGTGTCCGCGATGTTGTTGAGCGTGCCAAAGACGATGGTGGCAAGACCGGAAGCTGCGACGTCAAAGTTGTAGAGCCAGTTGATTTCCAGCAATGGCGCCAGCCGCTCAGGGGTCGCTTTCGCCAGCGCGAAGACGGTGAACAGGGAGCTGATGACTGAGACTTTGAGACTTTGAGACATGCCTCTCGACACGTCTTCTACAGGGAAGAACAAGATCATGAAGACTCCAGTGAGCCGTTCAGGATCCTCACCATCACCAGGCAGGCCAGCAATTTCTTCTGAGCAGCTGTCATACGATCGTCCCTTGCCACATGTTGATTAATACTGACTCCGTGGTTGCCGTCAGATGGCGCATCTGTGTCTTCTGCATGTTAGATTGACTCGTACTCGGATAGCTGTCAGATTCCGAGACCAATCTGGGGTTCGGTGTAAATAACATATCTGCCTCCATGTTGCCTAGCCTCTTACTTGCAGGCAGTTGTGTGATCCCGTTGCAAGCCATTGCACGATATAATCAGTGCAGAAGAGCGCTCAGCGCCGCACACACGGTGCCCGCACTGACGCTTCCTGATGACCTACCGTCAACCCTGGTAACATCACCGCTCCGCTCGACGACCCACGTCCGTCCGGCCGTCGTCCTCTCGCCCGTCTGCGGATTTGGTGAGATAGCCGCACTTTGTCCGATCCGCACTCGCGCGGCGTTTTCAGCGCCCGTAGCAGGATCCTGGAGACCCTGGTGCGCACGAGCCATTGGCGGACCTCGGACTACACAGGTGTGTCTCATTTGACCAATCGGGAAGCTGATCTGTGCGGTGAAGTTCATCACCGGAGCTGGGTGCACTCACGCCAAACGGGTGCTTCATAACCATGGCAGTCCGGAGTTTGCGCTGGTTTTTGAATGCTTGTGCTTAGGTAGCTTGCAGCACACAAATTTTCAATGCTGACCGCGTTTCGACTCACGAAACTTCACATGATGCGACAAAGATGAAGCCCCCGTTGCTGCTGAGCATTAATAGCTCGTTGTCCTGTCACGTCTCTGATCCAGCATTGTGGAAATCGCTTTGATGCCAATCAACAGCCCAACAGATGCCGTCACAAAAGCCAGCACGGTTATCATCCAAGGAAAACCGTAGGCATCCACCATAATGCCTCCGGAAATCGGTCCAATTGCTATGCCCATGGAAAACACCATTTGGTACACTCCGGCAACAAAGGATTGTGTACCCAAGCCGAATTCGAGCCCGTTCTGGACGCTACAGTCAAGCATGAGCTTAAAACATGGGGTTATGGCACCACCAATAAACATTTCTTCAATGGTCATACCCAGACCTGTTATCCACCAAGCCGGCTCTAAGCCCAATAACGGAGAAGGAGCCACCAACAAAATTCCAAAGCTCGCAACAAGGAGGCATGGTGACATCATCTTGTAACGGTTCCACATTTGCTCAGCCAGCCATCCCCAGAGAAAGTTAATGATGGCGTACATCGTGGTGCTAGCTAAGTAGAACAAACCTACCGTCGACGGCGAGACGCCGAGCACATCATTGGCGTATGGAGCGATGGCCGAACTAACGGTGCTCACGTCTGCAGAAAATATCAGTACGGTCGCCATGCAGATCCAGTTTCCGGTGGATCCAATAAACACCCGGAAATTCTTGAAGAAGCTCGTCTGCGGTCCACTGGTGATCTTCTGCACCGTCGGCATCACGTGCTGGTTGACGGCCGCCATCAGTAGCATGATGACGCCGAGCGTATAGAAGGGGGTGCCGAAGCCACCGAGCGCGAACAGGCCGCCCCAGATCGCCGGCGTCAACGCCAGCCCGATCGTTAGAGCAGAGCCCAGCAGCGCCACGACCCTGTTCACTTTACCGGGGAACTGGCTGCCAGCGATAGTGTAACCGCATACGGCAATGGCTGCTGAACCAGCCGCCTCCAGCAACCTCACTAAGAAACAGGCCGCCATGAAGGTAGATGTGTCCGCGATGTAGTTGAGCGTGCCAAAGACGACGGTAGAGACACCCGCAGCTGCTATGCCGAAGTTGTAGAGTCGAGTGATGCCGACAACGGGCGCCAACCGACCAATGAACGGGCTCATGATCATCTTTGCCACAGCGAAAACGCTGAAGAGGGAACTGATGACCGTCTGCGACACGCCTCTCGAAGCGGCCTCTACGGGGAAGAATGGGATCATGACAGCAATCAGCGAGCCGTTCAACATCCTCACGATCAGCAGGCTGGCCAACAGCTTCTTCTGAGCCGACGTCATGCCTGAGTTGTTTGCGGCACGCTGCTTGCCGCCTTCATTGGCAGGAGATCCATTGGTGTTATCTGGACTAGAAATGGATTCATAGCCGACATGCCCGTCCGATTCTGAACCTGAATCGGTCCTCCGCAACAGCAAGTTGTCGGTCTCCATGACACCTGCCTGGCGCTGACTACGTACTTCTATGCAGGTAAGCACTACCGACCAGCAGTACCGCCGGGCGGTTATCAGAGCCGCTTACAAGCAGCTTCCAAGGACACGTCGTAGGGTCCCACCGGCCTCCTCGCTTCTCAGCGCTGCCCAGTGCTAGTCCCAGCGCGACTGCACCCACATTTGTTGCACCAGACGCCGACTGCACCCACGTCTGCTGCACCAGGTGCTGAGTGCACCCACGTCTCCTGTGCCAAGCGCTGAGTGCATCCACGTCACCTGCACCATGCGCTGGCTGCGCCCACGTCTCCTGTGCCAAGCGCTGAGTGCATCCACGTCACCTGCACCATGCGCTGGCTGCGCCCACGTCTGCTACAGCAGGTGCTGACTGTTCCCACGTCTCCTGTGCCAAGTGCTGACTGTCCCCACGTCTGCTGCGCCAGGCGCTGACTGCACCCAGGTCTGGCTGACCCGCCCGCCGTCCGTCTGCCAGCAGAGCTGGCTGTGCACTGCCGCCGCCCGGCTCGCGCTCACCGTACGCATCCCCAGGCTTCACTTGGGCGCTGGCGAGTCAGTATTCATTACAGCCCGCCGGCCGGCCGGACTACCGCATGGCACGATATAAAACCGGTTTGTTTTTGCTCGGCAGTTGGCGGAGAGTGGCGGCTGCTACGCAAGCGGCGCAGTGTGCAGCCTGAGAATGATGCTTGACACGTGACTGTCGCGACACTCTGGTACGCTGCGCCTTTAATTCATGATGCTATTTTCCCTCTCTTTTAAGTGTTCATGCAATGGTTTCGCGTCCAGCAGATTGCAAAACGAATTTTTTGGATAGTCCTTAAAATCGTAAAAGCGAAAACAATGGCCGCCAACAGTTGTGCAGCAATTCCGATACGGGATCTTTTGAAAGCAATCATGTGAATATACTTCATATTATGTGTTACATTGACGGCGCTGCAAGGTGCACCTGTTTGTTGAGCTCACGAAGAATCGTGCCATATTGTGGCGAATATTCCAAAGAAACGCTGGGACGTTACTGAAACAAATTGGGCTAAAACACACAAACCCACGCACCAAAGCAAGCGCGGTGTTTCCTTGTTCACCGTCTGGTAGCCTGCAGTCCGAAGCGGGCATCATGGCTCAGGTATGGCTTTCACTTGTTTACCCAAAGAGGCACGTCTCCAGTTACTGTCATGGTGTGAGTGGGTGAAGTCTCACAAGGGCGTGTTTTTGTGTTGAAGGTATTCATGTTTCAGGAAAAAATATCTTTGAAAGCACGGTTGCTGCTGACTTGCCTTTGTTGGAAACAAGCCTTTTAAAGTTTGACTGTCCGCATCATTTTACACACGTGCGAAACGTATTACATCCCATTTTACAGCTACCCATGGCTGCGCACACATTTTAAAAAAACGTAGCTGAAAAAAATGAAACAACTCGAAGGCAGCACGCGACATTTTAAAGATGTATATGCAAGTCAACCACCCACGCATTGTCCCGCGGCCAAACATGCAAAGTAGACCAGTACCATGCGATGCCTGCCGACATGATGCAGTGCGATGTCTGCCGACATGACGCAGTGCGATGCATGCCGACACGATGCAGTGCGACGCCTGCCGACGTGATGCAGTGCGATGCCTGCCGACACGATGCAGTGCGACGCCTGCCGACATGATGCAGTGCGATGCGCGCCGACACGATGCAGTGCGAGCCTCACCGGTGATCCGACGTAGTTGCCCGTGCTTCCCAGACGAAGTTGAGCGAGTGCTTTCGCCGTAGCGCATCAGATTTTCTGCACAGTGGAGCTGG